GATGTTGGCTGCCTTTTTCTTATGTCCTCTGTCAAGATGATCCCACACTGCTTCAATTATGTTGAGTATCTACTGACTCATGGATTGGTTCTGGGGAGGCCAATCCATGACTGATAGTGTTCCATTGTGTGTTTTTCTATCCAGGTATGTTTTGGGGTTCATTGTCCAGCACAAAAATAATTCCATTGTCAATCAGACAATAAAGTATATTCCATAGTGGATTAAACCTAAAGTAGTTTTCTGTGTAATTTCATCAATTTTGATGACATCTCCAACACCACTGAGTGAAACGGAGCCCCAAACCATGACAGAGCCTCCACTGTTTTTTTAATGATGGCTGTAGTCACTCATGTTGTTCTTCACTCCTCATCTTCCCTGTTCACTGACAGTTTAAACATAAAATTTCAAATGCATCTCTCAGGTTTTATGTCAGGTTTTGCTGGTTTTTCCCTGTTTCTTAAGGACATGACTTCCAGACTGTTCATGTGCTATAGTCCTGCCTCTTCCCCCCCCACTTGTGCAGGACACGCTGCACACCAACCTGAAATATGCCAATTTTTCAGCTAATAAGATAACCTTTATTAGTCCCACATGTGGGAAATTTAATAGCTCTTTGCTAAGTTGTCTGTTATGTGTAGCTGTAACACTGGTCCTTGAGTTCCTTGAGATGACCATTTATGCTTGAATGAGTCATAGGGTGGTGTTAAGTGACTCAACAAACAAACAAAAAACAAGTACAACAACATTCCTCTGAAATATAAAGAAATCAAGTGTGACTCAAAACTTTGCTTAGTAATAAAGATGAGCCATGGCCATTGTTTGAAAAAATTACAGCGCATTTGGAAATTTGCTCATGCATAGCAACAGAAGCTAACAGTAAATTGGCAGTGCTTACGGGTGGGAGGTTAGTGGGGGATAATTACATTGTCTCCATGTGGAGATGCAAAGATAGTTTGAAGAAATAATTGACCAGTTACTCAGTGCTCCCTGAAAGTGGCTGCGATATCACCCAACTACAGTATGCTTGAGAAAGAAGGCAAGTTTGCTCCTATGGAAAGATGAATGTGACCTGGACGCATATGAATTTTAAAATCTTTACAAATTATAAAAGATCTTACCTAAATTACCCTAAATGTCCGCTCATATTGTTGGGTTATTTTAACAGGCAGATTAACAATTCCAAGAAATTGGACTAATAGGAACTGGTTTTCTGAAAGAACCGGTTCTCAAATTCCATCCCTAATTATAGGCCTGTTGTGGACTGTATTAGATTTCATAAACTTATAGGTGTAACAAATTTTGACTTTTTTTATTACTGAAAAGATGGATCTCACCCATGCTCAGTGCTTTTGGAAATAATCTAAAGAAACCATAGAAAAAAATAACCCCTTCTTTATTAGTTCTTCCCACCTTTAGTGTAAGTTATAAAAAGGTTCACCTTAATGTTACTGAGGCGGAAACCTGCCTTGTACCTCTTCTTATGTTTTGGTCTCCACACAGTGGACTGGGTCTTTGTGCTAAAACCTTCAAAAAATGATTGATGATTTTAATTAAATGTTGGGAGCCACACTGGGAGCCGACTGAGTGCTAGACTGCCCTCTGTTGGGCTTGGAGGACTGGCACTGACCCAAATACACTGGATGCCTATTACCTTCAATGGCTCAGCCAGACAAGGTCTCATTTACATGGTCAGTACAAGTAATTAAGTCCACATTCTAAAGTGTAATTAGTTCCTGCAGTAGCAGTATTATTGTACGATGCTCTAATACTCTATATCTCTACTACATTCAGTAGAGATTCATTCTACATTCAAATCAAAGAATATGCACAATAACTGAATATAATAAAAAAAAAAAAATGGCAACGCACGTTTACACCAGACTGCCACTATCTCAGGGAGTTACTGCTGTGATTTTCTTTGGTGCTTGTTACACATACCAAGGCCTCTGTCAGCACAGGTTAGGGCAGACTAGCTGGTGTAAGTAATGTGCTCTGACCCAGTTCAACATCCCGAGTAATTTACCCTGAGTTAGGGCAGATTTAAAGGTCTCTGTGGATAATCCAACTCAAGAGAAATTAAATTATCCTCAAAATAATATGTCCTGCTGTGTGGGTATTAGTGAGTTACTTAGCACTAAATAACACGTACAATTTTCTGCTAAGTCCTATCCTGAGCCAGCCCTATTTCTTTATGAGACAGACTTTCTTGTCATTTTTAAGTGGTCTTTCTGAAAAATTTCGAAAATTTTATTTGGACATTGGCTGCTTTTCCCACTCATCTTCAGTCCAGTCCAGTTTCTTAAGCCATCATTCAAGCATAAAAAAGCTCCTAACTCAGTGGATGAATCAGTGTTGTGTCTGCACAGAACAGACTTAGGCCCATTATTACAAGCAGCAGTGGCAGTCCTAGCCTGTTTGGCACCCTGGGCGAACACTCCCTCCCTCTAATTTTGCACTCCAGTCGAACACCCATCCCCCAACCCGAGGATCACCACAACATAACCTAATACACCTACACCTTAATTCACAGATTCACTTTGTCTAAGGTGTATTTCTGGGATTTTGCACAACCCAGGATTCAAATCATGAATACATAATGGGCTTGGATTTACAACATTAGGATTGAAATGTGCTCTTTTTGGAAGCAGCCGGGCACCCTCACCTTTCGACAGGTCGTGTGTGAAACTTTAAATCATCAAACTGTAAATTTTAAATTTTAAATTGTTGTTGATCCGTTTACCCCTAGTCCTAAAGTGTATATTTATTTTCTTACTCTTCTTATATTTATTGTTTGTTTACTTGCACTGCTGTAACTGGAGCCTCGTAGTCTCGTCTCTCTGTATACTGTACTGTATGTAGCGGAGATGACAATAAAGTTTATTTTGACTTCAGCACAGCAGCGAGCAGGCGCACCGAGGGCTCTCGCGCTCACTTTTCGCGCATAGAATTTAGAAAAAACAACGGTGCAAATTATAAGTCTGTATCATAATGTCTGGTGTTTTCGTGTTTGTTGGTTTGTTTTTTTTTTTGTTTTATTTTGCGAGTTGGTTATTAGATGCTGCTCCAGCCAGCCAGAGAATCCCCCGCCGCCCCGCCCTTTCCTCCCTGTGCCGCAAGCAGCAGGCGCACCTCGCAAACGGAGGGCGCCCTTACTCCCAGCAAATGGGCGATAGAAAACCGATCGGTGCCTATGCCATTCCCAGTATGCGCTGGCTGATGTTGGGGCAGCATGAGTAAGAGCAATTTTTTTTTTTTTGCCGCCCCGGACAACCGCCTGTGTCACCTGTATCAAAAACCGCAAGCAGCCTTTCACAGAAACACATAATTTGTTCTGATTTCTTATTTTGAATTTATAAAAATGCAAACAGTACCACAGTTTAAAATAAAGAAATAGTACTTTTGCACCAACAAGGTGATTCACAAAGAGTTACCATATTAGCTGAAAACAGCATGGAGTGCAGCATGTCCTTAAAATATTGAAAAAGTGAGGAAACTGTACAAATGGAAGACAAAAGAAGAACCCAACAAACATGCCCTATGCACACACAGCCCTACAATCCAATCCCCATTTATGAATGAAATGAAACAGCATTTATAAAAAATAAATGCTGTTTCATCCAAATGTGAGAAAACAAAACTTTCATAAAAGAAGACATACAAACTTGTACATTTGTACATTTTCTTCTCTCTTTTATTATATTCCTACCAAATAAATCAACTTTATCACTTAGTTGTGAATATAAATACTTTCTGAATCCATTAAATTACTTACGCGTATTGTTTTGTCTGCTGTGGTTGCTAACAGCTCACAATTAGAAAAAAAAAATCACTGTGTATTGTGGCTGCAAGACAAACTGTACACAGCGGTACCACATTATAACAGCCCACAGTCTTTCTTCTGGCAATGAACTGCTGCACAGAAAACCTCATCATCTGCGATTGTTTGGTGCTCCAGTTGTGGAGTATTCTTGTCTTTGCACTGAGTGCAGGCTGTGGTTTTTGTCTGTGCATGTAATCTGCTCAGGTTATTTGTGTGCTTTGTATTGTGGATGCTGGTTGGTTTCTGTATGTGCTGTTTATTTTCTTTCTTTCTTTCTTTTTTCTTTCTTTCTTTCTTTCTCGTGGTGTGCTGGGGATTTAAGCTGTTCGGGTTTGTGTCTGCATTCAGGGTCAGGTGTTACACATTTCAGGCTCAATGCCTCCTATCTCACTTGAGGCTCAACAGCTAACCTCACACGCACACACATGCACAAGCATTCATGCATGTGCAAACATACATGAATACAGTACAAAAATAATAGCACACACCCCCTCTTAAAAAATTACTCTCCGTCGTGCTCATGTGTCTTTTTCTCACCTATTACTTCAGGGTTTTTTTGTTTTGTTTTTGAAGAACAGCATCTGTTGCCTGCCATCACTGCTCTGTCTCAACTCCAACTTTTACCTTGCTTCGTTTTTATTGCTTTCTGTGTTGTTTGTCTCTCTTCCTCTGATGCTCTCTTTCTCTCTCTCTAATGACCTGTCTGCCTCTTCCTATCACATCTCTGTGTGGTCCGAGCTGATGCTTGCCTCAGTTTTTTTTGTACTCTTCACACACATACAAACACACACTTGCATCCGCTTGTCAAGAACAGAGGGCGGAGGGGGTTACCTCTATGCAGCTTACCAATCTGCACACTATCGACAGTGGTGCAACACACAAACACACACACACACGCACAACAGATGATTCATCATGAGAACTACCAAACACCAGAAGTAGGAGATTCTTATGCACTTTCGCAGCATCTAAAGACAGAGCAAATCTAATACACAATCTCAACTTTGATAACTTCCATCTTTCTAACGCATCATTTCCCCCCACTCTGCTTTTTCAGAGCACGGGAGATGCAAACCCACTTGCATGATTATCTCTTGAATTTCTTAACTACCCACCCCCTTCCATATCTGCCAAGCTTTACTTCCATACTTAGAAATGAATAAATAATTATAACTCTTACCGTGAGGGTAGGGATGGCTGTGACGAGCGAGTAGATGAGCACCGGAGGGATCTTGCTGGTATCATCCGGACCAGGGTAGGGCTTAGAGAAGGTCTTGTCGTAACAGAAGAAGCCCTGGATGTGCACAGGGAAGGTGTCCGTGTACTCAAAGTAGTAAGCCAGCAGCACCGTCCCAGCCATGATCACCAGCTGGAAATAGAACATTATCCCTCCGTTAGGAAGCAAGAGGACGAGAGGTGAAGCAGAGGAGGTAGAGGTGGAGGAGCCGGAGTGGGAGCGGGAGAGAAAGAGGGGAGAGACGAGTCCCTGTACCCCTCAGCAGCGGGGAGATGCATAGGAAATGCCGGATCCAGAGAGAGGCAGAGTGAGAGGTTCAGTGTTTGGAACCAGGAGACATGGCGAGAGAGAGAGAGAAAGATGAGAAGACAAGAAATAAAAGAGCCAAATCTGCAGGAGACTTCTCTCATCAAGAGATGGAAACAAAGATTCAAAGAAGGGGAAAAAAACAAAACAGGATAAAAGAGGATTCCCAACACCGCAAGCAGAAAAAAGACAAAGAATTGCATAGAGAGTGAGCAAGAGAAGGAGAGAGTGAGAAAGCAATGGAGAGAGAAAGAGTGATAGAGAGAGAGAGGGAGAGAGGAAGTGAAATGTGAGGGAGAGGAAGGGGGAGGCAGCCTTCATGCTGCTGGCACTCATGAAATCTACTACAGTTGAGCTGTGGGTGTATTTGTAGATGCTGCGTGCACATGTGTGTGTCAGTGTGGAATACGTGAGTGTGTGTGGCCTCATCACGTGCACAGAGACTGAAGTTTCTGCAGACACTCTAACCATCAGCTGCTATCCCCGCTAAAAAGTTTAGTTGATATCATGCAAAATTTAATCAATTTCATTTCATTTTCTGATGTAACTTGATGGCTTTTTAAGTTTTCAAAAAACTCTTTTTCCCTCTGCGTGTCCATTTTAGAATTCATTTGTGCACTGCTTTCTACTTTGTTTTCTCTGATCACTTTGATTTCAAAGTGATCAGAGAATGCTTCCATGTGCCATTTCAAGCTGACACATGCAAGCAGTGCGCCAACTTGAAATGAAATTCCAACCTAGTGAGCAGCATCACGAACCCTGATTGCTACTCACAGCTTGTTTTTGCAGTTTTCAGAAGGAAACAAGGAGGAGGTTTCTCTAACACAAGTCCCAAATGAGAGTGCACTCCTCAGATCTGCAGATTCACAAATGCAGCAGATCAAAGGCAGCAAAATTGATTACGATTTGTAGTAATTAAAGCCTCACCAATTTACCAATATTGTGGACCAGTATTGTTGACTGATATTAGCTGCTGGCCAATCCATCTGTATCAGCATTTATAACAGCTAATAACTGACAATGTACAAAATAAAGATCGTAGAAACACCCTTGACACGTGCTATGAATTTTGATGTTACGTTATTTGACCACCAGAGGGCAATCTGCATTTTCCTTGTTGGCATCATCAAAAACACAACAACAAGCTGGCTTAAATGTGAAGTCAATAAATAACTACACACAAGAAACGTAAGGGATATTTATAATGAATATTAAGAACACATTCGGGGGGGGGG